ATGGACATGCAGCTCTTTTACAGCTCTTTCTTGAGCTTTTGGATTTCATTACAGAGATATTCAGAAATTCTGTTTTTCTTAGGGAAATAATACTATTAACATTGGGAAAATTTTATTGCATTAAGGCTGCAGCCATTTGGCTTCACTTCAAATTCTGTGATGATCAATTTTGGTAACACCTCCTCGCCAAGCATGCCTGACAGCTTAGTCATACAACTGCAATAATGCATTCATAGCCTACATTTTCAAAAAGTGACTAAGAATTTAGGGTGCTCAAATTGAGACCCCTGTAGAGTCTCATTTTCAGAAAGTGCTAAATACCTGCCTTCTGAAAATCAGGCTCCTTAAATAGGTCTCTAGGCACTCAAGGTGGCTAGTCACTTTTGAAAATGTAGGCCACAGTGTTTTATTTGACAGTATGCTTTACTTAAACACAAGCATTGCCAGAGCTTTGGTGTGAACAGTGTAGATTAAATTTAATACAATTAGTTTCCTTGTAGTCTACAAAAGTATTAAGATGCAATCAACAGTAGCTGGAAAGCTATATCACTACTATTGTTTTGCACAAGGCTGTAATGCCTTCCAGTACTTTACTAAAATCTTACATGCTAATCCAGGTGGTACATGTCAGTAGTGTGTTTAAGCTATAAAATGTATGCACTGACAGTTCTGGAGCATAACTTCACTTAGGAAACACAATACCAATTTTAAACAGTTAAGAGTCCCATTCCAAATCCAATCCTGGTCTTAACCCAAAACATTTCATGAAAATCAACCAGAGCCAGGCTGATAAAGAAGAGGTTGAGAAGTGTCTTTACCAGAAGCTGTAATTTGAGATGTCAAATTTCCTAAGTATCCCTCCAAAAGGGACAAGCATCTCCCCACCACACACACACATTTAACCCTTAGTCAGCCTATTTCTAAAGTTCTCTTTCTCCTCAACTATTTTAAACAGCAACTTCTCTCTGTCTCGCTCTCTCACATACACACAGACACACCTGTAAAACTGATCTTGCAAGTTGTGTGCCACTGATATAAAAATATCTTGACCTAAAATATCACTGATATCAAAATATCTTGATGCAGAGCTAATTCACCAGTCTCTTGTAAATCAGAAAGCTTGGATGAAACTAGAGTAATGACGTGAATCTATCAAAATACTGGTATTCAAGCCTGCAGTTTAGGGAAGTGATACCAGAGTTCACAATCACAAGGATCAACCTCAACCTTCTGAAGCACCCAACAATTGCCATAAAAAAGATCAGAATGAGAAACAAATATTGCTTGGGGCAGGGTTTTTTCAATATATTCCAGTCATCTCACTTTTTCAGGAGACTGGTTCTCAAAATCTGGTTTTGAAATGCTGTTCTATTATCAAGTCTCATCTAACACCTAATACTTGAAAAGCACAGTGTGGTCTCCATCCTTCTACTATTGAAGCCAATGGCAAAAATCTTATTGATTTCAATGACTGGAGGATCCTCTCCTAAAATTGTATCCTTTTTGTTAGGAAATTGCTCCTCCTCTTGACCTATAGATGGTCTGAGCTTCATCCCCATTGTTTTGCACATGACTACACAGCCTTATCTATGAAAAGTGGGTATAAAAGACTTCTACCAGTTTATAATAGAGGGCTACGTCTAGACTGGCATGATTTTCCGGAAATGCTTTTAATGGAAAAGTTTTCCGTTAAAAGCATTTTCGGAAAAGAGCATCTAGATTGGCATGGACGCTTTTCCGCAAAAGCACTTTTTGCGGAAAAGCGTCTGTGGCCAATGTAGACGCGCTTTTCCGCAAAAAAGCCCCGATCGCCATTTTCACAAAACAAATCTCAGCTGTCTACACTGGCCCTTTTGCACAAAAGTTTTGAGCAAAAGGGACTTTTGCCCAAACGGGAGCAGCATAGTATTTCCGCAAAAAGCACTGATTTCTTACAGTAGGAAGTCAGTGCTTTTGCAGAAATTCAAGTGGCCTGTGTTAGACAGCTGGCAAGTTTTTCCAGAAAAGCGGCTGATTTTCCGGAAAAACTGCCAGTCTAGACACAGTCGAGGAGAATTGTGGTTTGGTCATGTTCCAAACCCACTTTGCACAAGAGTAAATGACTACTCAAGATGGAAGCCAGTGGCAAATGAAGCCCTCTAAATTATAAAACTACACAAAACAGAGGTCAGAGTCAAATGTAGGGTTAGACCCTATTCCCCCAATGAGCTCACTATGGGCACGTCTACACTATGGGGAAGATCGATGCTGCCATGGTCAATCTTTCGGGGTTCGATTTAGTGAGTTTAGTGAAGATGCAGTATATCGAACTCAGAAGGTGCCCCCATCAGCACCAGTACTTCTGCTCCTCCGAAGGAGTAAATCTCCCGCTGTGTGGATGGTGATTTAAGATACAGCGACTCCAGCTACACAATCAATGTAGCTGGAATTGCATATCTTAGGTTAACCTTCCACTTCAGTGTAGAGCAAGCCTAAGAGTTTTTCTGTTGACTCCACTGGGAGCAGAACAGGGCCCTGAAATCCTGTATCTTGTGGAAACAAAAGTATCTGAAATACCTTATATTGCTCTCTAAACCATGGTCTACACTAGAACTTTATTTCAAAATAACCCTTCCAAGGTCTAATTTATAAGCAGCACATCCATACTACCAAGCCTGCTATTTTGAAATAATGGGCCTTGGAATTTGAAATCTGTACTCCTGCTTTTCATCAGGAGTAACGCTAATTCAGAAATATTTATATCAAAATAATAGTAATGTAGATGCTCTGGTGATGCTATTTGGAAATAATTACTCCCTAGAGTAATCTGAACTAATTACTCCCCAGTGCTTTCTGGGGCTGTAAGTCCAAGGTAATGTGTCCCACATTAACGGAGCCTGCCCCAGACTAATTTTGAGGTTTCTCTCTAGTGTGGACATGCTAGTTCAAATGTGTTAACTTGAGAGAGAAGACGCATTTAGTCATTTTGAAATACTTTCCTAATGTAGACTAGATGAACCAGAGGTCGGACCCAGTATGGCAATTCCTATGGGGAAGGGGGGGCAGAGAGAAATATAATAGTGAGAAACTCTAGGTTTATGGCCTAGCCTGCAGTCTGAGCAACCAGAACTCCCAGAAACTTCTACAGATGAACTGGTGCTCTGAAAATTCTGTTTTATCATCAAGAAGGTCAGATCATGTACACAAAAGGGTGACTGATGCACAATGGCCTAATACACCCTTACAGATACTCTGCTTGCATTCTGCTTAACAAAATATGAAGAAAATGGCACCCAATATTTCTGAAGTTAGCTAATGTATATATGGATTACAGGCTATATTAATAATTTGCCACAATCATTATTTCCAAGTTAAGCATCTCGTACCACACATTTAAGAAAATATTTGACAGTACCTTCAGATAGCAATATTGTAAATGACAGAGAAGCTGTGATGTGAATGGGATCCCAAAGCCTCCTCGGTTGGTTTTTGCCAATGCAAATCCAGTCAATATTCAATCCCATATATTTCTAGATGAAGACAGATGGTTAGAAACCAGTGTATGTGGGTTGTTGTTCTTTTCTCCCGATAGAAAAACACATTGTTTAGAGACACTATTTCAAAGACAGTCTAATTCTTGCAATGGGGCAAAAGTCTGAGGTCTCAGTTTTTCATTGGTGAAATGCAACAATGAGGTGGGGACAGAAAATGAAAAAAACCTTGAAAAAAAAAAGTTCCAGAAACCTTGTTGGGAGGAGAAACCACCAGCCATGCAATACTATATCACACCACCAGAGGCACTGCTCCTGGTGCCTTTCTCGGAACTGAGCGGCATGCACTTTACACCCACTTAGGGGAACACCGTATTGTCCAATTATTTCTTCCGTTTGAACACTAAGTATTCAGATTTCCATCGTTTGTTTTCTTCGGACTTTCTCTTGAGAAATGGGTTTCTTTTTCTTACTATACGACGGTAACGGGTATAATGGGGTTAGTTTGTGTCCCCCGAATCCAACAACTATTATTGAGCCAACGTTTTACTTTAAGTGTACAGTACTTGTGCGTTTCCTTGATTAGATTGGATGAGGATTAGAGGCGCTTTGGACTCTTATAAATACATAAGCATGTGCAATAAATAATGATTACTAAAATGCCAAAGTCTTTTCCGTGATACTAATAAGTAAAGATTGATCCTTGCGATTACAAGATTGAAATCCTAGAGAACCAGTTAATTCGAGGCAATCAAACTGCTGAACTACGGCAGTTTCTACCTAGTTCGCTCTGAGAATTGGAGACTGGTTAGCCATTGATTAGTCTACGAACTATTATTTTTCATTGATTTGCATGCGCCAGATTTAATAAAGAGAAAATCAGCTTTAATTGTGTAACAGCCGCCAGGAAAAAAAAATCCTCAGGATTAAAATGAACATGTATATGGCGTGTCCTAATCGCTAAATAGACCTCTTGAAATAAGGTGCTTGCGGAAAGTAAAGACTATGAAATAGCTACACTACTGCGAATCCTGTCCTAGAGTCAGTTTCAAAAATAAACCTCTTGCAACAAATTCGAAAGAATTAGAAACAGGGCAGAGGTGAAGAGACACCGCAGGGGTCAAACTTAGAAAAGAAACACGTCTCTCCTGAAACATTCAGCTGGAGCAACAGCCCAGAGTGGTAACTGAGTAGAGGAGACTTAACCTGAAACGGACCAGCGTTTTCAATGGGAAGGGAAGAGAAAGGGTGTTTTACAATAGCTTTATTAGCTGCAAAGCTCACCTTTAAAAGTAAGCCCCAGCCTTAAAGCAGCCCTCTCCATTTGCCTGAACAATGAGCTCCTATCTCTTTTGTGGCTCTTTGTTCAGAGGGGTGTTTTCTAACATGCACTGTAACATTTCTTTTAAGGACTGCCTGCCAAAGAGAATCCCCTAAGGGAAACCAGACCAAGAAAGTAGTGACCAATCCTTTTCGAATTATTGTCAGAAGGCTCCTCCCAGCCCCTTCGATTTGCATAAAAAAATCCAGAAAACTCTTGTTTGCCCAGCATCTTGATCAGTCTGTCCCCCCTTGTCTCACAGTCAGAGCTTGAACCTCCTCCTGAAAAGCTGCATGTAGCCTAAGGGGAGCGGAGAGTTTCTCTCTCTCTCTCTCTCTCTCTCTCTCTCTCTGTGCTAGAGAGTCTCTTGCCTTTGTAAGAAACTGGAAGCCCCGCTAGGGCCGGTTTTTTTTACCTCCCCCGGTTTAGAGCGTGAGTCACCAGCCATGTACCAGGGATACTGGTCTCTGTTCCTGGTCGTTATCGCCTCCCACTGCATAGGGTCAGTCAAAGGGCTCTTTCTCTTTGGCCAGCCCGAGTTCTCCTACAAGAGGTCCAACTGCAAGCCTATCCCCGCCTCCTTGTTGCTGTGCCGTGGGATCGAGTACCCAAACATGAGGCTGCCCAACTTGCTGGGGCATGAAACGATCCAGGAGGTCCTGGAGCAGGCTGGAGCCTGGATCCCGCTAGTGCAGAAGCAGTGCCACCCGGACACCAGGAAGTTCCTGTGCTCGCTCTTTGCGCCCGTCTGCATCGACGACCTGGATGAGACCATTCAGCCTTGCCATTCGCTCTGCGAGCAAGTGAAGGACAGTTGCGCCCCGGTCATGTCCGCCTTCGGCTTCCCCTGGCCGGACATGCTGGACTGCAGCCGCTTCCCCCAGGGCCACGACCTGTAGAGAAAGAGGGGCTGGGGGGGGGGTGGGGCTAATATATTTCCCTGCCTCAGTGACTCCACCAGGACCAGAACACCTAGTCTAGGGACTTCGCAGCACATGGACGTGGCTAGAGGCGCGTCCGCTACAGAGGCATCGTGGTTGCAGCTGGACATGAGCGAACTTTTAAAGCCGCCGAAACGGAATTGTTCGCTGCGGTGAACAGATGTGAGGGACCAGCCTTCAAAGTCTCTTGTGCACCTTTATTTGCCATTCTAATTCGCTGTAGCATTGCAAAAGGGAGTGCACAGATAGCGGGGGGGAGGGAGGAGCTGAAAAAATGCTCAGATTTATCAGCAAAACCAGTGGATCGATAGTTAATACGAACGACGGACTCCTCTTCTAGTGGTACCCGCATTTTATTTGAGGCCTGGTTTTAATTAGGTGGAGAAGATCAAGCGAAAGGAGACTGTCCCTAGTGTTAAAAGGAATGGGAGGGGGAGTTGCTATAGAAAGCCCATCAGGGGAACCTCGTGCGTTTGATACTCTTTCACAAAAACCCACAGTGTGCCTGTCTTGATTTTTGTTCCTCGTGGGAGGGAAAGGAGCCTCCTTAATCCTTTTCATGGGATTCAACAGGAACTCCTTTTCAAGCCCCTGCTTCATTCTCGGCAGATCTTAAATCAATTGCAAAGTTGCTTAGCAATCTTTTCTTACATGATGCAGCGTGACTTTCCAATCCGCTTGAGGTTAGATGGCTAATTCTCTGGAAATGTTTTGCATTTTTTGAACATTTTCCCATCCCAAGCAATAAACAAATGAACACAGTAGAAAACCTATAGCATTTAGGAGGGACTTGGTAGCTTGGTCATTTTACTTTGAAGCCCTGGCTCTTTGCAGTTGTTCATTTCACAGATCATCTTTTTTTTCTGCAAAAGGAAGAATTTTGAGCAGAACGTGATCTATATTATTTCCATAGTTGAAAGAGTAGGCACACATCAACAATTCGTTCTTACTTTAATGAAAATCCATCCTGTCTGAGAATTAAAAGAAAAACCAGTCCATTCAGAGATGGTACGTTAACAAAATAATCTCTGTCTGATGAGTTCTGGTGTCTTCTAGGAACAGAGAGGAAAGTCAGAAGTTAAAGGCAGCTGTGAGAATTCTATAAGGGCATATATCAGTTGGTATACAAATCTCAATTCACTTCAATGTTCCCAAACGCCACCTGCTGTTCTTTTTTAACCAAACTTGCTGAAAGCTGTTCCTCACATTTTCCAGCACCAAAGGTCTGCGATGCCTGCAAAAACAAGAACGAAGATGACAACGACATTGTGGAAAACCTTTGCAAAAATGACTTTGGTAAGTGAAAAAGAACCCCCTAGTTAGAATTCCAGTGGTTCACTTCTGGGATGATCAGGTGATAGGAGTTTTTTTTTAAATCAGAGTAAGAACTACTGTCAGGATTTATCCTTGTCTGCAAATTAAACTGAATTCAGTCCTAGTAATATACTGCTTCAGAAGGATTCAGTTATGCAATGTACATTCCTGATCCACAGAGTGAAAAAAGTGTTTGTAAATCCTTATAAAGTCAGATTTCTGTTTGCCATTTCCTACTCTTATCTCAAAAACCAACAAACTTACCAACAATAATCTGTCTAGATGTTTACGACTGTTACAGTGAACTTGAGCAGGTGGAATAATACAATGAACAAGAATAACCTGTGGTCTAAAGTACTGGCCATTGGGAAAAAATGGAAGGATTTCATATAGGCTTGTGAGAGAGAGACGATCCACTTGCCTGGACTGTCTCAAAAATTTGTAAATATTTATTTTACAGATTCTAATTGAGCCTCCCCCAGTCAATTTAACCGGGAAGGTGGTTTATATTTATATACAACATGCTCTAAGATTCTAGATTAGAACAGGAAAGCTTCTTTAACCGAGAATAAGGGAAATTAAAAAACCGGAGTATGTACATTCTAAAAGAAGAAAACAATGATTGTAATAGGTCAGTATTTATAATTGCAGTAAGTGGATGTGTACTGTAAAGTAATTCAAATGTGATTAAGACAACATAGTCATAGACCCTGTATTTATCCTTGCTTTGGACTGACAAACAATGCCTGAGGATTTCAGATAAAACCTTTCTAGAGGAAACATGTTTTGTAAGTTTTTAAAGAGCCTTGTATTTCCGTCGCCTAGTTATTTTACCAAATCAAATGCAGCTGTTAGGTCATTTCTCCTTCCATGCAATCTATTCTTTCAAACAACAATACATGTGAAATATAATTTCCTCACAGGTTTACCTAAAAATCCTCTCCAGTCTAATAAATTGAGTTTAAAGTTTTCAGCCACAGAAGCGATCAGATTTCAAATTAGCTTTAGATTCTTCCCCCTCACTCCTTTTCAAATTCTAGGGTTTCAGTAAAAATGTCTAGTGCTAGGTTAAAACCTGCTATATATTTAGTATATAAAATGTGCCTGCTCTGTGTTTGCAAACGTTAGGAAAAATAGAGAAAAGATTCATTTAGAAAAGAAGAAAAAAAACTTAAGGTTGATTCAAACTGAGATGACTTGCATGCACTTAGTAGCTTTAGAAAATGAGCCACCTGCTGCCCATTCTGTCAGCCCCTGACAGTTTAATTAGCAATAGAAGACCTCCCTCCCCAGGTCTCCTTTATGTGCACTAATGGGAAAAAAAAACTCTCTCAATCTCTCTCATCCCACTTCTCACTCCCTCCTCCCCTCTTTCAGATCACATACATCAACGGGGACACCAAGATCACTCCTGAAACAAAGAGCAAAACCATCTACAAGCTGAATGGGGTGACGGACAGGGATCTGAGGAAGACAGTGCTGTGGCTCAAAGGTGGCCTGCAGTGTACCTGTGATGAGATGAATGACATAAATGCACCTTATTTAGTGATGGGACAAAGGCAGGCCGGGGAGCTAGTGATCACATCTGTGAAGCGGTGGCAGAAAGGACAGCGGGCATTCAAACGATTCTCCCGCAGCATCCGCAAACTGCAGTGCTAGTCACTTCCATGCTAGTCACTTTTACCCTAGTCACTTACATCAGCTGCCCCAGTTCTGAGCTCTTCAAGCCTCTTGCACCTTCTTGTTTCAGCCTTTCTGAACCACAAGATATAGCAGGCATGGGAGACGATAGCTGTTTAAAAGAGGAGGACAAAACCCTCCTCTTCACATTTTGTAAATATATTAAAAGTGTAATAAAAATCATGAATATTTTGTGAAGTATTAAAATATCTTGCTTAAAGCTAGGCTGGTTTGGTTTGGTTAAATGTGACTTTGGTCTGACTTTTTCCTTTTCCTTCACGTTGGGACAACTGGTCAATTGAGGACATCATCCTTCTCTACACATGCATGTGTGCTTGTGTGTATTTTTCTCTGACCCACTCAGAGATGATAACAAACATTTTCCCCTTTTCTTGGCCTTGTACATTGAGTTGAATTGTGTCCATGTGTGAAATGGCATAACATCTATTTTAACACTATACAGGAGACCATTACAACAGCTGCATGAGGTACATATGCATTGATAACAATAAGCTAACCATATGCACATTTTTTTTTTTTTTACAAATCTGATCCTCTACTCAAAAAAGAACAGCTTTGTAGAGTGATCTGAATACAGCTTTTAACTTTTCTAAATATGGCAAATTAACCCATTCATAGCCTAACTGTAAAATACCTAATGGTTAACCTAAAAAAGTTGTAAAATATTGTTTTAACCAATCTTGTAAATATTCCAGATAAACATTATATTCTTGTATATAAACATTACAATCACAGCTTACTCATTGTCTTCCTTTTGGGGGTTTGGAGATGGAGGTATTTCAATGAGTTTTGAAAATGAGAGAATTGAGAACCACCACCACAAACTGGTTTTTTGGCATAATACAGCAAAGCTGGTCCCCTCCTCCCCCAATTCCAATAGTCAATAACCACTTTAGAGATCCCACTCCTGTTATTAGAGCCAAGTGGGTGGACTCTGACTTGAATGAATAGGACTTCCACGCAAATTTAAATATCTATACAAAGATACAGACAGTTTAATCCATATTGGTTCCGAGATATTTCTGTGGGGCTTTTAAATGCCTTATATCTTAAAGATTAACAGTTTCTTTGCGGGTCCTTTGGGGGGCCACTTATGGTTTCACCATGTCTCCTAGGAAGATTTTTGCTATCTTGCTCTTTTTTTTTTTTTTTTACCTCCGCAAAATAAGAGAACAAGGACAAAAAGAACAAAAAAGGAAAAGAAAGGAAAAAGGGTAGAGAAGGAGAAAAGTAGCATGTCAGGTCTAGGCTGCACCCAGACCTATTTTGATACAACTGTTATTCAGGGGTATGAAAAGCCTCACCCCTGAATGACACATACCGATCACCAACCCCTCCCCCCCATATAGTCAGCACTATGTCATGGAGAGAGCTTCTCCCACTTGCATACCTATCACTTCTCAGGGAGAAAGATTAACTACACTCAGGGAGAGAAGCTCTCCCATCCACATAGATCATTTTCATTAAATGGTACAGCAGCACAGCTGCAAAGGCAGCATTTTAAGTGTAGACGTGCCCTCACATTCCACACACCAGGAATCAGTCAAAGATTTCAAAAAATTTGGACCAACTCTTTTCAAATTTGTCTGAGGGGAAGACTTTGCTCTTTACCAATGTAGAGTTACAATGGTTTTTCTATTTTTAAATGATCAGAATAAGGTCAATTTTGATACATATACATTCCAATTAAAGAAAGTATAAAAAGAACAAAAAGGCCTACCCGATAATCTCTGTTAGAACAATGCAATAGTGCAAAATAATTAAGGCCCTTGATTGTAGGGGATTTATTTTATTTAACGTTTCCCAGGAATTTGTGTATATCACTAAAACTTAAAAACTGGTGCAAAAATTAACTTCATTTTTGGGGGGTAAATATTGGGATTAATACTGGGGACTTTGTCCAGCAGGAGAAGCAGACTGAGCTCTGTGACCTGCATCTTCTCTCCAGGTACATCTTGTGTCCCTCCCTCAGACAGCATTGAAGGGCCTAGCTATCCAGAAGGGCTATCACTAGGGCCAATATTTGTAAGGGGCCACGATAGGTAGGGCCTAGAAAACACCTGGTGTGGTGAGGTGCTCAATATTTCGGGGGCAGAGTGGCGGAGTTCCTGCTGGGAGACGGGGTGGTGGGTGCCCATACTTACAGGCTATTTCTACACTGCCCCCGTTTTGTGCAAAAAAACGGGGGCAGTGTAGACATAGCCACAGGGTATAGCTGTTGCTGTACTGATTGGCAATGGTCTTAGTGTTGCCACTCTACATAATCCTGATAGAGCAGCTGAGGAAGTTCAGGTCCATGCCAAGCACCAATATGGCAGTTTCTGGTGCCTTCTACTACCTGGAGGCTGATGCGCAACCTTGACTTCTTGGGCCCAGAGCCCTGCCAGTCTCATTCTCCCACTACAGTATAACAGCCACCTACTAGGGCTACGTCTAGACTGGCCCCTTCTTCGGAAGAGGCATGCTAATTTCTAAATTTGGAATAGGGAAATCCGCGGGGGATTTAAATATCCCCCACGGGATTTAAATAAACATGGCCGCCGCTTATTTTCCGGCTTGGGGAAAAGCCGGAAAAGAGCGTCCAGACTGGCGCGATCCTCCGGAATAAAGCCCTATTCCGGAGGATCTCTTAAAAGTAGGAATAAGAGATCCTCCGGAATAGGGCTTTATTCCGGAGGATCGCGCCAGTCTGGACGCTCTTTTCCGGCTTTTCCCCAAGCCGGAAAATAAGCGGCGGCCATGTTTATTTAAATCCCGTGGGGGATATTTAAATCCCCCGCGGATTTCCCTATTCCAAATTTAGACTCTCTTGGGGGCGAAATCAGTAAAAAAACAACGGGTTTTGTAAAACCCAAGACATGTTCAGTAAAAATTAGTAAAAACAAAAAGGGCCATAGAAATAATTGGTAAAATAACAAACAAACTAAAAAACCCCACCAAACTCTGGTACTTCTATTTCACATATTAATATTTAGGGAAGAAATATCAAACATAATACAATTTTTTTTAAACAAAACATCAGTGGAGTTACATAAGAGCTTAACAAGGAGACTATCTTAGCAGCACCTATTCTTCCAAACAGTTACAGAGGGATGGGATTACACAGTCGTATTTGATCATATACTTTGACATAATATAAATACGGGTGCATTCCTCAAAGATGCTGAACACTCAGTAGTCCTACTGACTGCAGTGAGAATATTAGACTCTCAGGATCAAAGTCCTCTGACACACTGCAACATGTCATACCACATAATCAGTTTTTCAATGTCAAAACTAGAAACTGAAGTCCATTATGTTGATGCATTCAGAGTGAATTTTAACTTGCAGGAAACAAAGTTAAACCTTTTATTTTCTATTGCATAGAGCTTCTTTTGAACAGGATATGATCCCAAGGCCTCATCCTGTATTCTTTACATGCTCAATATTTTCCCTGAGGTCAACAAAGTAGGGCTGGCCTTTCACAGGACTCTCTGAAAACAAACTTAAAAATTAAGTGGCTAACACGTTGCAGAACTGTTCTTAAGGCTTTTCCTCTCAATTTATAGGGCTTCTCATGAAATATGTTGGATCCCTTTTGTGCCTGGACATTATTACTTGAGTACCAACAGTGAATTCAGCACTGTCCAAGCCCAACAATAAGAGGATGCCACACAGCTCTACCTGTCCTTCGCAACACATTACAGGATCACTGTCACTAAACTGATCCAGTGCTTGGACCAGATCAGCTCATGGATGAAAAAGAGCTGAATGAAGAGAAGCACGGTGGAAATTATGATGTTTAGCAGAGAAAAGCACTTAAAGAAGTTTGCTACTATGGTGAAGTCTCCATTGACTGAAGATGCACAAGCACAAATAGTCAATTCAGTCCACAGTTTGGGAATACTCCTGGTTTTCTGACTGATAGTAAGCTCTCACGTGCTAGCCATAAGATAGGGACAATCATTGTTGCCCCTTTGAAAACAACAGCTTTAACTTCAATGGGAGCACAAGCGAGTACCAAGTCACTTGCACAGAGTCCCACTGAATCAGTGGGACTGTTTGCTCAGGGTTACATTGATATTAGTGGGATTATATCACGTGTGAAGTATGAAGGGTTTAGACCAGTGTCAAGAATAGCACCAAATCACTTAATGCCTATTTATTCCCCTGATTTAACTATGTTTCTGACCACTTTAATGACAACTTGTTGTTATAACAATAATCATTCATTTTACCAAAAAAGGAAAGGTTCAGAGATTGTTTTATAAAATCCATTATCAGAGGTGTATAAACCAACTATTGAAAATCCAGCTGAGTTGAAAACTAGCATTATAAGAGCTCAACCTGGGATCAATCTTCTCAATAGAGAAGATTCTGTGACAGAAAAATATCCACTTAATCATTTCACCATTTTTACATTTTAGGAGATCCTTTTGCCTGCCTATAACTGGAATTCTTTGGTTCTATGAAGTAAAAAGAGATTCAAGTAAGTAGCTAAAAGCCATGCAGATCAATAACTTTTGATGAGCGCTGAATAATGTATGTTTGTTTAGAATCATATACAGGCAGTCCCCGAGTTACGCGGATCCGACTTATATCGGATCCGCAGTTACGAACGGAGCCCTCCCTCTCCCTGGTCTCCAGCAGACCAGGGAGAGGAAGCAAAGCGGCGGAACATGCGGGCAGCAGACAGCCCAGACACGTCTGGGCTGTCAGCTGGCTGCGTGCTCCACGGCTTTGCTCTGGGGACTGCCTGTATGTAGATTATATCTTAGTGGCACTCTCTTCAAAAGTGAAGCAATTTCCTATTTGCAGCTGTGCTTGTTATTGTGTCTATAATTAAGCAGTTATTTTTGTTCTGAGATATCTAGGTGTCTCTACATAGCATTTAGTTCTGCATTCTCTTTCACTCATTCCTACCCCTCTCCCCATTAGTTTGCCAGTATTCTCTGGCCATTTTGCTAGGTCACTTAAAATATAAACATAGAAGAATGTAACATATTGGGAATATTTGTTACCAGTATACCCAAAACTAAATTAGCATGAACATCATAAAAAAACACCACATTCAGAAGAGGAAAGGGAATTTAACACTGTGTAATGTAATTTATATTCACGTGTTCAAAATCTTTTTAATGGACTCTTAAATTGAAATGAAAAGCAATTTGATCCATATGTATTTAGGAAAATCATTCAGAAATAAAGTTGGCCCATTGCTTGT